GCATGTAAACTCTTCTTAAATGATCTGCTTCTTTAGAAGTAAATTTTATCTACTACCATAGTCATATGAGTTCAGTTTCCTTTAGAAAAAAATGTAAGCTATCATACCAAAAGGTGCCTTGCTATACCATAAGTAAATGCCAGAATCTAAACATTTCAATATTACAATTCTAAAAATTTAGTAAAAGCTCAACAAAAGTAACAGATTTGACAGGCATTTGCAGAATTAGATTTTAAGATTTAACTACTTGCACAGGAAGACATACTTAAGTTTCTATGGATATAATGACTTGATATCTGAAGTATGTTTTAAAACTCCAATAAAAACATTTTTTTAAGTCAGTGAGAAAGAATAAAACAAAATTGGCAAAAACCAGTAAGAGTTTCATTATACTATTTTCACTTTTATGTATGTTTGAAAATATAATATATTTAGGATTTGAATTATTATACTGTTTTTTAACAAACAAGGACACAGTAATGAATTAAATAAAGTATAAAGAATCATATTATTTTGTCCTTTTGCTGTCCTTTAACCGTTCCTATTGTTATCTGTTGTTCCTTTAACAACAAAATATATCTGTTTTGATCCACTGACAAGCTGAAAGAAATAAGCCATGTGATATTAAATTCTTTCAATCAAGGCAGGAAGTTACTTACCTCCTTTAATTCTGGCCAGTCTATAAGGAGAAGTTTAGCTGGTGGTCCAGAAACTAGCTGTACTCGAATAAAGTCAGAAAACTCACGCCAAGTAAAACAAAGATCCTTATTTCCAGGAGGACCTGGAATAAATTTGATGCCTCTTACACTTATACTCTGTGTATTTTCCTAGTGAGGAAAAAAGTACATTGAGAAGATAGGAAGATGTGCTTCTGGGTAAAACAATAGCAAATAACTTGCACACATGTCAACATTGGCATACCATGAATTTCATTTCCTTGAGAGGAGAAACTGAATTTTTTTTGTAAAGGAGAGATCTAAAAGTCTGGCTATGTACTTTTATCTTACTTTGTCTAAATCAGTGGTTCTCAACATTCTGGCCCTTTAAATACAGTTCCTCCTGTTGTGACCCAACCATAAAATTATTTTCGTTGCTACTTCATAACTGTAATGTTGCTACTGTTATGAATCGTAATGTAAATATCTGATATGCAGGATGGTCTTAGGCGACCCTTGTGTAAGGGTCATTCGATCGCCAAAGGGGTCGCGACCCACAGGTTGAGAACCGCTGGTCTAAATCCTATCTTATTTACACTGACATGGTCTCCTTTCTGTTCCCACATAGCCAAGCAGGTGCTTGCCTAATACTCTTTGCACTTGCTCTGTCCCTCTGTTTGTAACATTCTTTACCAGATATCTACAAGGCTTTTCTTTTGTTTGTCTGTTTTTGCATATAGGATATCTTATTCAGAGGGGTCTTCCCTGACCAATCAATATAATGTCACTCTATTCCCTTACCATGATTTATTTTTCTTATCAGTCATGTCTTACCTATTGCATGCTCTCCAAATTACAAGGTGATCTCTAAGAAGGTAGAAGCTTTGATTTGTCACTGATTAATTTCTGGTACTTAGAATAACTAACACATCATATTAATGGAAATCAACAAAACTAGCTTGTAATTTTTACAATGTGATTGAATGACATAAACCAGTTACACACTGGCATGAGTACTGTAGTATTTGCATTTTAATTCCGACTCTTAATGATTTCATCATCTTAAATTTCCACTGAGTACAAATTCATATTTTAAAAATTAGACTTAAAATTTTAAAATTTTATGCTTTGTTTGTAAACAATTGTTTGTAGAATATTTTCTGTAAAAAGACATTGTAAAATAATCCACATTAATCTCCCCAAAACCCCAATGAGTGCTCTAAATGGGTTCAACTTTACTTGGGCCTTAGAATTCCTCTTCTTTCACCTACTCTGTTCTCGCAGGTTCCCTAAAGGTCTAACTTCCACACCTCTTTTCCCCTAAAAATGTCTTTAAACTCTCTAGAATACATTGTGTCTGCTTGTTTTAAATTGAAATAAGTGTACCACAATTCTTATTTTAAACTAATCTCAATTAACTACACAGTTGTAAAGTTTCACAATTACTTTAATAAAGAGTGTGAGCGCTTAGAAATTTGATTTAAACAGCTGCATGAAAATTGCCCTAATATGTATATCCAAGTGCTTATAGGTGAAATCATGTGATGTATAGAATTTGCTTCAAAAATGGTATGATAAGGAGGGAAGTAATGACTTGAAGCTGAGTGTTGGGAGCATGGGATTTATTTATACTATTTAATCTATATTTTGCATATGTTCAAAATTTTTAATTACAAAAAGGTTTTATAATTTCTTTTATGATTTTTTTTGCTATAAACACTAAAATCAAATTTCTTTTAGTTTATTTTAGTTTCCCCCAAATTTTGTCACATGTAAACCAATGGCATTAGCCAAATGTAGTGAAAAGCAGCCATACCTGAAAGGTAGTTTTCAACTGTGAGCTATCAAGTCCAATACCAGCAATTCCCAAGGCAGATAAAGAACTTGGTGAAAATGCTTGAATCTGATTTCCATACTGATCTGTAACTATTACAACTAAAAGGAAGTTTGATTTCAAAGTGTTATCTTTTAATAAAAGATATAAGCATCTATAGATACACTTATATACTTTAATAAAATTATGCCTAAAAACTCACTTTGTTCTTGTTTGTATTTTTATAAAAAAGTTATACTCACTTACCTTATAATCCATCACAACAAAAACATCAAGAATATATATACATTTGAGTTTATTCATTTAAAATGATGCTGATGCTAACCAGATTTTTACCATAAAATTTTGAAGAAAATAATTTAGTATTACATATCTAGATCAGCGATTTTCAACCAGTGTGACCTGACACCCTGGTGTGCCACAAGAATCTGTAAAATATGTAATATCTGACTATTTAGTCAGGGACACTGACCTCTTTTCCCTTAGATTGGCAAATTAAAAAATGACAATGGCTAACATAACAAAAGCCGTGCAGTGTGAATGTCCTGCCTTAAACCATAAATATAGAGATCATATAATAGGGTTGCTTCTTATTAATCAAATTGCATAATAAGGTTGTATCTGATTAATTCTTGGTACCAGACATACAAGTGTAGGCACCTGATTTTTTTTTAAAGTCGCTCTGGAGCAAAAAGGGTAGATAATTACTATTAGTTTATGTATAAAACAAGACGAAAAAGGTTGAAAATCACTGTTTTAGATATATGAAAAATATAGAATAAATATGTATTCACTGATATGAGCCAACGTTTTTTCCAACACATTTTTTACCAAATTAATTTCACAGTATGTCAGCCTGGGCAAAAATAGTGAAAACACTTCAATCTTTTCTGACAATGGATTTTAAACCAGTAATTGTGTATAAACCCAAAGCTTTCCTTTCAGATTACATATGTCAAAACATGAACATAAATACATATTATATAAGCTTTTGTGTTTTATTTTGTTTTTAATGCTGGACATACTAACCTATTTCCCCTTGAAGCTCTTGGCCCATCTGTACTGTTTTTGCTCCTTTCAACTCACACTTTAGATGTTTAGGTTCATCAGGTAGGGGTCTGAAATTGGTTAAGTTAAAAGGTTTTAGTCACACCATTCATTGTACAAAAAATTTAAAGCAGTTACAATATGCTAAAGATATATGTATCACTCACTTTCTAAAACTCAAATGTAATAATTCCCCTCCAAATAACCCAAGAGTAAATAAAGGCAGAATACTGACAGAAAAAAATTACATAAATGTTAAATCATAGTATCTATGTTGGATTAAAAAGAAATTATAACGAAAGCACCGAGAAAGAAAAGAAGGTTAAGAATAACCATTAAGAGATCTAACTATAGTTGGAAAGTAGTACACCTGAAAATTTTATGGAGCTATTTAAAGTGTTGGAAAAAGTATGAAAATGGGTAAAAGGCTTGAAATGAAGGAGGTTGCCAGAAGAGATGGCCAAGGAAGTGACAGGCGAAGGCGAAAGATAAGATTTTTAATATATTTACCTCCCTTCCCCTTTTCTATCAGTTCTATATATTGAGTCTGGTTGGAGTCAGCTTTGGAACTCATCAATAACCAAGGAATATTTCCTTCTGAACAATACATTGACTAACAAGGTTGTATATTTCATACTTTCCGTGTCTTCCATTTTGCAGGTGTTTCACTGTTGCTTGCACTAGGAAGACTTTCCTTTAATGCAAGTTTTGGTTCTTATAGATACTAGAGGGCCAGTTAATTAAGCACAGGGTTATACTGATATTAAAAACTAATCACTATCTCCACTGAGGTTTTTTCCAAAGACAACCTACTATATTTCACAGAAATTGCGATATTTCCTACATTAAAAAGAAATTTTACACAAGTGCTTTTGAGAAAAGTATTTTTGTTGCCACATGCTGAATTTTGAAATATCTCCACATGTTATATGTCCACAAACCTTACTGTAAATGCACTTTCCAAAGACACATGATCATCCTGAAATGAAACCTGGCAATAGCGCATATCTTTTACAGATGTTGGTACTTGTACATCAGGAAGCAGACCTTGCAGCAAGTGTTCTTTGTTAATCTCAGGAGTCCAATTAACCTAAGAGAAAAATTACATAGTTAACAATAATAAAAAGTTTAGTCTAATATCCTCCTACTGCCAACTATCTTACTAAGTGAAGACTCTTAAAGTTAAATTATAACCCAGGCTCTCACCCTCTGAGGAAAAAGAAGTCTCCCTTATGACCAGAATGATGGTGGGTCATATCTATATATATAAAAGGCTAATATGTAATTTGTCCCATCGGGAGTTCCACCGGGAGTTTGCTCACTCACTATGACATGCGCTGAACACCAGGGGGCAGTGCGAAATGAAGGAAGGCCCTGGCCAGCAGTCAGCAGCTGGGGAAGGAAGGCCCTGGCTGGCAGCCGGAAGGCCGCGATAGTGCCTGATCGCTGGCCAGGCCTAGGAACCCTACCCATGCATGAATTTCGTGCGCCAGGCCTCTAGTTATTATGATAAAAAAGTATCTTCTACATTGTTTTTGCTGTTAATGTTGCCATATCTTTCAATGCAATATAAAAATTCTTAGGTTATTTCTTTAGAGTTTTACTACAAGATTCTCACTGTGATAACTATGGTTTAAAAATAATATATAGATCAAATTACATGATCAATTCTGAGAGGTAATTTTCATTTTTTAAAAAGAATGTTATTAATATGGACTTTGAAGAGATTTTGAGTGGACCTTTGTTCAGCAAACACAGAAATTATGCCCACCGATGGTATATGCCCACCTTTTGGCTTTAATCCATTCTTTTGCTAAATCTTTATCTTATATATATATATTGATTTCAGAGAGGAAGGGAGAGGGAGAGAGAGATAGAAACATCAATGATGATAAAGAATCATTGATCGGCTGCCTCCTGCATGCCCCCTACTGAGGATCGAACCCACAACTAAGGCATATGCCCTTGAGCGGAACTGAACCCATGACCCTTCAGGTTGCAGGCTGACGCTCTACCCACTGAGCCAAGCTAGCTAGGGCTAAATCTTTATTGTTGAAAGTTTTACATATGTCCCCTTATTACCGCCCCCCATTGACCTCTTCTAGCTTTAATCCATTCTTGAATGCTTTTAGCTCTAATTTAATTTTGCACCTCTTGCATTCCATATTTTAATTTGTTACTAGATCCATATTTTAAAGTTGATTATCCCACCCTATCCTACTTTTAAACTTCCAATCCTTTCTATTTAAGAATTTTTTTTAGCTCAACTGTTGTAATTCTTAAATAATTGGTATTCTAATATTTTCATCCCAGTTTATGATGCTCTAATCTGTTTAGTCACCTTTTACTCTTTTTATTTATTTAAAATATATTTTATTGATTTTTTCCAGAGAGGAAGGGAAAGGGATAGAGAGTTAGAAACATTGATGAAAGAGAAACATCGATCAGCTGCCTCCTGCACACTCCCCACTGGCGATGTGCCCGCAACCAAGGTACATGCACTTGACCGGAATCGAACCTGGGACCCTTGAGTCTGCAGGCTGATGCTCTATCCACAGAGCCAAACTGGTTAGGGCCTTTTAATTTTTTTAAACCATGTTTCATTCTCATTTAGTCTATATTATACTTTTTTTTTTGAATAATAGAAGCAAGTAGGAGTTACACAAAAAGCTGTGCTATCCCTTCAATGAATTTCTAGTTCAGTTTGGGTTGACTTTCCTTAATATTGAAGAATTATATAAAGACCACAAAAACCACTTTAAAGACTATACATTTAATTTATTAAAATAATAGTATTTAATATCTTGTATTATCAATGAAGAGGTGCATGTTTTAAAATCTCTGGAACCCAAGAAATATAAAACTACTATATTTGAGGCAAAAATGTGTCAAATGTAGGCCACAAGCTCTGAGAATGGCCAAAAGAAAGGTATATACAGGAAGAGGCTCTCCAGTCAATTCTTCTTCACCTCAATAAGAAAAAGAATGTGGAACTAGTTTAGAAGCCAGGTTCCTTGGCACCACTTTTAAACCACTCAGCCAACTCTGCTGATATAGGGTAAAAATGACTTGTGCCTCCCTTTCAGGATTATTTCTCTCTCAATCCTCTCTTCTCTCATTAATGAGGGAAAACATAAACTAGCTGGAGCAGAGGTTATTCCAAATAAAATTTTTAAAATAAGGTCAGTTGAACCCCTGGTTAAACAATTCTTTAAAATATCAGTTATTATTTTTGGAAACTCAAGATGACTATAGGACATGACAGTATAAAAAAAGTAAGTTCTACATCTGTCCCACAACAGCAACTGTCCAAATATTTAGTTAATTAGTATCCCTTGCATAAGGGTCCACAAACGTTGGAATTCCAGAGATTGGGGTATGTTTATCTCTAATTGCCTTAAATGAACCTGGGGTTTTAAAAATTAGTTTCTCACATAAAGAGTTTTTCTCTAAGAATGTCAAAGGGAAAAGTACAGTTTGTTCTGCCTATAATGCTTGATTTGAAAATGTTTGTTCTAATGCAATTAAAATAATAGGGAAACTTTTGAGTATAAAAGCAATTTTACTTTACGATAGTTGAACACAAAAAAACTGTTGAGCCAAGCCATGCAGAATATATAAAACAACACACCTCAAACATCTATCAGCCTCCTCAGCCAATTACGTGTATTGAGCCACATGAACACATCTAGTGATTTCACAAGCTGCAAACCCTTCCTGTACCCACTTCCACAAGTAAACTCACATATTTTTTATAGTGTTCATGGACTTCTTAATCATTTAATATGTGTTACTGCTACTGTTTTTGGTAATATTTTATTAGTTTCCTTTTTTTTTAAAAATGGGTGAGTGATGAGGTTTGAGTATTGTGCCTCTAATTCCCATTTTCCCATAAACCCTGTGTTTTTTATTGCACCATTTTACACACAATGACTTTTAGGAATTTACATGTTTCATTACAGCATAATTGACAGTACTTTTAAAGAAGTAAGCAATCTACTTTATGTGACAAAAATTTAATCATTTTGATTTGGGTCTCTGTTAAGTGAGATGTTAAGTTTCAACATATAGATTAACCCATTTTAGGTACAAATGATATGTTCAAATGTCAGCAAACTGATGAAAACCACCTAAAGTTACTGAGAACCTACTAAACTATTTTCTAAGATCATGCCTTTAGCAATTGTTATACCAATTTGAAGTGGCCAAATCAGGACTCTGTATAATTAACAATACTGCTTCATTATTTACCTTTAACAGACCTTTTATTAGGGCCTTCAGAATAGCTATAAATAGATTGCTGCAGTAAGACGGTGATTTTGATTGTGGATACAGCCATACAGCTGGCCAGGTAGTGACAACTAAACAAAATACCAAACATTGTAATTTGGTTTTAAGTGTCAAAATCATGTCACACATGAATCATTCACGTTTCAGTCTAGTGCATGAAAAAAAACCTCTTATTTAGCCTAGAATTATAACTGATGGTAGTATTTTTCTTTGGTAAGATTCTTCTTAGAGGTTCCGTATAAAACGTCTTGTTCAGAGAGTGACATTAGAGGAATGGAGGCGTGAGAGAACCCTTGGCCTGTCCCCCTAAACTGTCAATAAGTTAACCAACTATAATTCAACAAAGAAATCCCTGCTCAACACAGATGCATGCCTGAGACCCGCACATTGAAACATCTAAAGGTGAACAAAAAGGAGTAAATGGGAGGCAAGAAGGAAAGCACAGACAGCCCCCAGAAGTAGGCCTGCAGCCAGGAGCTCTTGGCCCAGTTGGGAGAGGGAGAAAGCTGGCGGTAGCACATGCATCCTTGGGCCGGAGGAACAGAGAGCTGCGGGAGCAGCCCAGCAGGGCAAGCAGCGAGGAAGCGAGAGAACAGTGCCTGAGACGGCAGATGCCTGACAGGGCACACAGGGTTCTGCCCTGAAGTTCTCCACTGTTGGGCAGGGCAATGGTGTTTCATACAAAGAAACAGAACCACAGAGCCCTGCTGCCACTTGGAATCTGAAAACTTGCCTCACATTGTTAGAGTCGGGTCCAGGAGCCTATCTATAATAATAAAAGTGTAATATGCTTAATTAGACCAGACATCCTTCCGGAAGTCCTTCCATCCTTCTGGACAAAGCTGGGGCTGCAAGGGAAGCCTGGGTCCTGGGCTGCCTGCTGGCGGCCGGAAGGAAGCCCGGGTCCCAGGAACCAGAAGGAAGCTCGGGTCCCAGGTGCCAGAGGGAAGCCAGTGCTGGCAGCTGGAGGAGAAAGGCCGCATCTTGCACGAATTTCATGCATCAGGCCTCTAACTATCTGTAAATCAAGAGCTATTGTAGTAGAACCGCTGTTTCCCTCTGTGACTGATCCCTAGGAGAGGTACTTGGAGCATAACCCCACAGGGTCAGGGATCCCCATTATGGTGAGGGCATAACAAATCCCACCCCTAAGCAGCGCAGCTGTACTATATTATGGAAGCTTTACGGAAGCCATGGAGGTCAACCCTGATAGATCACAGAGGTAAAAAAAAATCTTGCAATTTAGTATCATCTACTGGAAAATAGTAGAAAAACCTTTTCATTAATATAGACATATATAAATGCTTAGACAAAGGAGAACAGCAAACACTACTAATAACAACAGTAACAAGGATGATCAGAACAAAAATGAAAAATCTGCAGAAGCAAGCTGGAACACTGGGAAGTATCCTATCTAATAAAAGAGAAACATGGTAACTGGCGTACGACTGCTACCCTTCCCATTGGCTAATCAGGGCAATATGCAAATTAACTGCCAGCCAAGATGGCGGCTCTGCCCCGTCACTCATAGAGCAGGGCCCATCAGGGGGGTTGGGGCTCTGTACCCTGTCACGCACAGAGCAGGGCCAATCAGGGGGTTGGGGTGCTGCCCGCTGCCAGTTCCTGGCTCCCAACTGCTTGGAAAACAAATCTAAGATGGCTGCACATGAGGCTTGCTTGCTTCAGTGACAGAGGACTCCAACGTTCCCCGTCTGACGCTGCAGGCCTCTGAGCTGCAACTCTAAGCTTCCGGCACCGGGATCAGCATGACAGGGGGCAGCACCCAAACCCCCTGATTGCCTTGTGGGTCTGTGTGTGACAGGGGGCGGAGCCACAACCTCCCTATCCGCCCTGCTCTGTTCCTGACAGGGGAAGGTGCCCCAACCCCCTGATCAGCCCTGCTCTGTGCCTGATAGGGGGTAGCTCCCCAACCCCCTGATCACCCTGCGGCTCTGTGTGTGACAGGTTGCGGCGCCCCAACCCCCTGATTGGCCCTGCTCTGTGCATGACAGGAGGTGGTGCCGCAATCGCCCCATCGACCCTGCCTTGAATGTGACAGAGGACGGTGCCTCAACCCCCCAATCGGCCCTACCCTGAGCATGACTGAGGGTGGCATCACAACCTCCCGATCGCCCTGCTCTGTGCATGACAGGGGGCGGCGCCCCAACTCCCCAATCGGCCCTGCTCTGAGCCTGACCAGGGGCTGCACCTAGGGATTGGGCACGCCCTCTGCCACCTGGGAGCAGGCCTAAGCCAGCAGGTCGTTATCTCCCGAGGAGTCCCAGACTGCGAGAGGGCACAGGCCAGGCTGAGGGACCCCCAACCCCCACGAGTGCACAAATTTTTGTGCACTGGGCCTCTAGTCCTATCTAATAAAGAGGGAATATGCAAATTGACCATCACACCGTAACGGTCAAGATGGCTGTGGCCACAGTGGAGGCAGGGATTCCATAACACAAGATGGCTGCACCCACAGGAAAGGCCGAGTTTCTGTAACGAGCCTTAATGAGCAATCAGCAGGGACCTGAGGCTGCGCCCCCCGCCTGGTGGGGCTTGACGGGGGACCTTAGGCCATGCCCCCCGCCTGGCAGGGCTTGATGTGGGACCTCAGACTATGTCCCCCGCCTGGCGGGGCTTGACAGGGGACCTCAGGCTGCGCCCCCTGCCCCAGCACTGGGCCAGAGGACCTGAGGCTGTTACCCCCACCCGGCGGGGCTTGACAAGGGTGTGACTGGCCGGGTCTGGATCTAGCCCAATGGAAGTGGAGCCAGCCATATCTGGATCTAGCCCAATGAGGGTGGGGTCGGCCAGGTCTGGGTCTCGCATGATTTCGGGGTGCACATGGGTGAGCAGGGACCCAACTCTGGTTCCCGTGGTGCGCCCCAGAGTCTGACAGGAAGAAGATTTTCATATACATTTTACTAATTTTCTTTCATCTCTGACACTTCTATTATAGAGAGAGGGTAAATAGCAATATTAAAGTATTTCCTCTAATTAATTCCCTTTTAATGTGCATGAATTTCACGCACCAGGTCACTAGGATGATATAAATGACAGATATCAAGACTGCAGTTCTGAAAATACTCAATCAGACGTGAGAAAATATAGACAGACAATTCAATGCACCCAGAAAACAAATCAATGAAGAAGACAAGTACTTTACCAAAGATATTGAAACTTTTATTAGAAATCCTGGAAATGAAGCATGCAATTAAGGAGATTAAGAGTGAACTACTGAGCATAGAAAATAGCCAATCATGGAGGAAAGACTTAGTGATATCCAAGACTAGAGGCCCGGTGCACGAAATTCATGCTGGGGGGGGTGAGGCGGGGGTTGTGTGTCCCTCAGCCCAGCCTGCACCCTCTCCAATCTGGGACCCCTCGAGGGATGTCCGACTGCCGGTTAGGCCCGATCCCGCTGGACATCCCTCTCACAATCCAGGACGGCTGGCTCCCAACTGCTTGCCTGCCTGCCTGCCTCTAACCGCTTCTGCCTGCTAGCCTGATTGATGCCTAACTGCTCTCCTGCTGGCCTGATTGTCCCTAACTGCCATCCCCTGCCAGCATAATCACCCCCAACTGCCCTCCCCTGCAGGCCTGGTCGCCCCCAACTGCCCTCCCCTGCAGGCCTGGTCCCCCCCGCAACTGCCCCCCATGCATGCCTGGTCCCTCCTAACTGCCTTCCCCTGCTGGCCTGATCACCCACAACTGATCTCCCCTGCTGACCATCTTGTGCTAGCCATCTTGTGTCCACATGGGGGCAGCCATCTAGCCAATCATGGAGGAAAGACTTAGTGATATCCAAGACTAGAGGCCCGGTGCACGAAATTCATGCTGGGGGGGGTGAGGCGGGGGTTGTGTGTCCCTCAGCCCAGCCTGCACCCTCTCCAATCTGGGACCCCTCGAGGGATGTCCGACTGCCGTTTAGGCCCGATCCCGCTGGACATCCCTCTCACAATCCAGGACTGCTGGCTCCCAACTGCTTGCATGCCTGCCTGCCTCTAACCGCTTCTGCATGCCAGGCCTGGTCCCCCCCAAGTGCCCTCCCCTGCCGGCCTGGTTGCCATCAATTGCCCTCCCATACATGCCTGGACACCCCCAACTGCCCTCCCCTTCAGGCCTGGTCTCCCCCAACTGCCCTCCCCTGCAGGCCTGGTCCCCCCCGCAACTGCCCCCCATGCATGCCTGGTCCCTCCTAACTGCCTTCCCCTGCTGGCCTGATCACCCACAACTGATCTCCCCTGCTGACCATCTTGTGCTAGCCATCTTGTGTCCACATGGGGGCAGCCATCTTGTGTGTTGGAGTGATGGGCAATTTGCATATTACCTCTTTATTAGATAGGATAGGAATTTAGAAATGACACAGAGATAAGAGGAGAGAGAGATGTGAGCATAAAGAAAAATGAAAAGAGCTCTATAAGAACTGACTCCATTAGAAAAAGCAATATTAGAATTTAGAATTATAGGCATTCTGGAGGAGAAGAAGGAGCATGGAACAGAGTCTATTCAAACAAATAGTGGATGAGAACTTCCCACACCTATGGAAAGAACTAGATCCTTAAATCCAAAAAGCAAAGAGAACACCTAGTTACTTCAATCCAAAGAGGCCCTGTCTAAGGCACCTGGTTTAAAAGCTGTCAAAAATTAATGACAAAAAATCCTCAAAGCAGGCAGGGAAAAGACGGAAGTGACCTACAAAGGAAAACCTATCAGAATTTCATCCGACTTCTCAGCAGAAACTCTACAAGACAGAAGAGTGTGGAACCAAATATTCAAATATCTGAAAGAGAAAAATTACCAGCCACGAACAATATAACCAGCAAAATTATCCTTGAAATATGAAGGAGAAATAAAGATGTTCCCAGACATACTAATGCTAAGTCATTTTATCACCAGAAAACCCCCATTACAGGAAATACTCAAGGGAGTTATTCTACCTGAAACAAAGAACATAAGGTCACAACACTACAAGTAAGATCACCAAAAAACCTACAGCACAAACAGGGATAATTTGTAACAACAAAAACATAAAAAGAAAAGAACCGTGGCATATATGCAACTTTATTTTTTTACAAACCTAATAGTAACCACACACAAAAATCCCCAAACCAGGATATATAGCTTAAAAAGGGAGGAAAGACGTATGGAATATCACAAAACAAAAACAACAAACAGAAACACAAAGAAAATAAAACCAATGGAGGCACAGAGCTACCAGAAAACAAAAGATAAAATGGATATAGGAAATCCTCATACACCAATAATTACCCTAAATGTAAACGGTTTGAATTCACCAATAAAGAGGAACAGAGTTAGCAGAGTGGATCAGAAAACAAAACCCAAACATACGCTGCCTACAAGAGACACATTAAGATGCAAAGACAAAGGTAGATTCAAAGTAAAAGGATAGAAAATGATTCTCCAAGCAAAACTTCTTATTCAGAGTCTTCCAAACATAAAGTAAAAAAAAAAAATTCTTAAAAATAACCAATCTGTTGCCCAGCCAGTGTGATGCAGTGGTTAAGCATCAACCTATGAACCAGGAAGTCATGGTTTGATTCCCAGTCAGAGCACATGCCTGGGTTGTGGGCTCGATTCCCAGTTGGGCGTGTTTAGGAGGCAGCTAATTGATGATTATCTCTCATCATTGATGCCTCTCTCTCTTCTCCCCCGCCACCCCCCGCTCTCCATTCCTCTCTTAAATCAATAAAAACGTATTTTTAAAAATAACCAATCTGTTTTAGATACTTACTTTAATTTTCTCCGCTAAAGTTGATGTTACATGGATTTCTCTTTCTCCTTCATCATACATTTGAAAGATAAGATTATGCATAACATCGCCTGCTATCCAATTAACCTCATCTTGGTGTTTGATCTGGATTGCCTTTTGTCCTTCCACACTGAATATCTGTAATCTTGCAACATGGCTACTGGGAAGCAACTTAATCGTTTTCTCCACAGGTGCCACATCTTTACAACTCTAGGAAGAGAAGAAAACCAACATATATTGATTGACATCTGTACTTTTTGAAAACAGATTTTAGCTTTAACAGTGAATGTTTTATTACACTGCTTAAAAATTTATTCCAATAATATGGAAGATCATATTATATACTATTAACATTCATAAGTTTTGTAACTAAGAATATATTATACTATCAATCATTCCATATTTTATACCACTAAGTTATAAATAAAGATAATGGCCACTTTCTTAAAACCAAAACACTAGCATGTTTGCACTTAAAAGGATTTCCTTCCCCTTATTTGTAAATTTACTTTAAAGTGCCACAAACTTGTAAAATTTTAATCACACAACAGGGATTTGGTGACTAACATTCATTAATAAGATTAAATATATAAAATATTAAAAGCTTTCAATAAAATCAGGGGCAAATAATTGCCATCAAGTATATTATTTAATGATATTAGGTTACACTAGTGCTTTTTCAATTCATTATTAAATGGGATAAGTGGACAAGTTTCCTTATAGCTAGATAAGGATTTTAAACATCCTAAAGACTAAGCTAGCATATTTATAATTTATTATAGTTATTACGTCAGTGTTCCATAGATCAATAAAAATGAGCTGGATTAAGCTTTATAAGTTGATTTTAGGCACACAATATTAAAATCTTGTATCATTATTTCATAACCAGGTATAATGCATTACACAAAATTCAAAATAAGCCTAAGCCTAAAATACCTTTACAATCTTCCTTAGCTCATGCCTCTTTCCTTATCGGTTATAGTTCATTCCTATTAAAGCCTATCAAATCCCATCAATATGAAGGACATATTCAAAATTTCTACCTCACAGAATATCAGATAAACCCATCCTCTTCCTTCATCATATGCATATCTAATTTGCCTGACTCAAACTCAAAACTCAAGAGTCATAAGCTTTAGATAAATTTTCTAACTGCATATTACATGCTATACTTTGGTCTTTGTCTTAACTGACCTGGATTCTTGGGTCCTCTGCCTGTTGCTGCCCTGTATTTGCATAATCCCTAATAATTTGTTATTCTTGCTTCTAAACCCAAATTCCTTCTTAAATCCAAATCTTTTCTCCTTAAGCTTTCTGGTAGTATGCTCAAAATAAGGTGGCCATATTATTGAAAAAAGAAAATACATAACAAATATTTGAAGATTATCAAATACAACCAGTCAGAAAATAAAATATTTAGAATAAAGTTATCTCATTCTAACAAAAATAAATAAATAAATAAATAAATAAAAGTTGTCTTTTACCCTTTTGAGGTTTAAAATGTTATTTGATGTATAATTTTTAGGAAAACATCAATCAAATGGAATTAGGATATTCATCATCTACTGCATCATATATAAAGAAATCACATTTAAGTATTTCATTTGTTTAAGTATTTGTTATCCCATTCAACAACATTAGGGGCTCAATTGCTTATATCAGGCTGGCTTCACCTTCAGCTATGATGTATATCCAATAAAAAGTATCCTATGGTTCCCCGACTGGCGTTGCTCAGCGGTTGAGCTTTGACCTATGAACCTGGAAATCACAGTTCAATTCCTGGTCAGGGCGCATGCCCAGCCTGTAAGCTCAATTCCCAGTGTGGGGCATGCCGGAGGCAGCAGATCAATGATTCTCTTTCATCATGGATGTTTCTATTTCTCTCTCCCTCTCCCTTCATCTCTGAAATCAATAAGAATATATTTTTAAAAAATGTATCCTATGGTCATATTAACGTAACAATGTCTTTATATGAAAATACTAATTAAAACCACTGTTTCATTTTTAAAATTACACACACAAATTAAATACCTATAGTCCATCAATCAGTGGTAGTTTAAATGAAAATATTTAGCAAACATGCAAAAAAACAAGTGTAAACTATAAAAAACAAAACTGACACATAAATGTCAAATCCTATCTAATAAAAGAGAAACATGGTAATTAGCCATACCTCTGCTACCCTTCCCATTGGCTAATCAAGGCGATATGCAAATTAACTGCCAGCCAAGAAGGCGGCCGGCAGCCAGGCAGGTTGAAGCGAACATGAGGCTAGCTTGCTTCAGTGACGGAGGACACCAATGTTCCCCGCCGGCTGCTGCCGGCCTCTGAGCTTGCAATTTGAAACATTGTTACAAATATAGAAGCTAAACAAAACCCCAGAAACCTGCTTTCAGCCAGCTGGGATCTCAGAGCTGGAGTTGAAACAGTGTTTCGATTAGAGAACCCAAACAAACCAGATAACTGCTTTTAGCAGCAGAGGCCTCATAAGCTGGAGTCAGAGCTAAAGCTGGCCCAGATTAAAAAAGAAAAAAAGGAGCAGTTGGGAGTTTCAGTCACCCGCCAGCATGAAAACAGCCCTCAGCCCCTCACCCAGGC